AGTGATAGATGATAAATCTCAAAGAGCATTTGGGGTCAGCTTGTGAAGGGCCTTATATAACATGACACAGAAAATGCATTTTTACCTTGTATAGGATTTTTGTCAAGGAGGCATGTTATCACATCTGTGGTGACAGGGTGCAGGCTGGGCAAAGGGGGAGCATTCAGAGAAAAGAGGGTTTTCCTTTTGTATTTAGAGAAGAATTGGCGGTCCCTAGGCAACTGAGAGAAGGTCTTGATAAAACTATAGAAAAATAGTAGGAATAAAAATTGAATCACAGAATCAAGTCAAAACAAACCCTGAAGGTAGCACAATTGTGAAATACACCACCAGGTCACAGCCAGGGAACAGTGTCACAGAAATTCTTCAAATAAAGCTGAGAACTAACATTTCGGGAGGTAGTGTTACCAGAAAAAATATAGGAAGCCCAGGTAAATTTGAATTTCTAGATAAATAAGGAATAAATTTTTCCTGTTAAGTATGCCCGTATGATACTTCAAATATACTAAAAACTATTTTTTTTAAATCTGAAATTCAGATTTAACTGGGTGTCCTATTATATTTTTATTTGGAAAATATGGTAATCCTAGTATTTAAAAAAAAAAAAAAAAAAGGTCATGAAAAGGCCTAGTGGTCAGAGTCAATGATCTGATTCTGTGGGGGTTTTTTGATGAAAGAGAGTTACCACATTTGCTTGGAGGTGTGAAGAACCGCCCCAGCGAAGCATTCGGCAGAATACAGGGAGAATCTTTTGGGAAGTGTTTTCCACATTTAAGTCACTAGTAGGGATTTTACCTTACGAGATTGTTAAGAAGATAAATGGAACTGTAGAAAAGGGGAAATTCAAACCATTGACAGCATCTAATATTCAACAGACTAGATGGACAGTATCTTGTGTGTTCCAGGAGACAAATGGGGTGTCATCCGCACCGAGGGGGATCGTCCACTCTGCTTGATCAGATGTGACCCAGGCTGGGCTGCCATTGTTGTTTATGCTTTTCATATACAGTGGCCCCTGTGTTCTGGCTCCTGTTTCTGTTGAGGCTCTGAAAGCATTACAAAAACCCCAACAATAAACACTGCTGAGAACGTGAGGTCATAGTAATGTGACCTCACAGGGAGCCAGTTCTTTGGAATCCCTAGAAGACCAGCAGGCGCTGGAGCTGTGGGCGAATGGACCCTGGGAAGGGGCTTAGGAGAGAAAGTATGGCCCAGGTGCGCCCCAGGCCCCATGATGAGCTTGTCTTGGTGCCTGTGTCATTGCTGGTGAGTTTGTATTGCCATCACTTTGTAAACTTTCTGATTTAAAAAGAGCAATCTCTGTTCTTATTCAAGTGGTCCCATAAATTGTGAAATGGGTGAGAGTGAAGCCACCTAGGAATGGAGGTATTTAACCTCACTTTATTCCTAATTTTCTTTTTTATTAAAATCCTGAGAAGTCTGATGCCTATAGATTTTTAATATTACCTCCTGGTAAATGTGAGGAAAATGAGAAATCGACTGGACTGGGCAAACTAGGAGGAAGAGGGGGCAAATGTGAGGAATGAGAGACATGAGCAATGGAAATGATTTTGGCCATTACATTTTTAAAAAAATGTGCTCATTAGGATATAAGTATCTTGTGTTTGAACAAAATCTTTGCAGTATGATGTATATGGTATAATTACATATTTGCCTGGAGTGATTAAGTATATACCATGAATTTGCCCTGAGCAATAACTACCAATTTAACTGAGAAGAAAATCCTTTCTTTGACTTTTTTTTTTTTTCTAACATGATAGCTAATATAGAGTAAGAGAATGCATGGGAACACAACTCCAGGGATTTTTTTTTTTTAATCTATAAAAATTACTTGATTTTAACTAAAATATTTCTTGGAATAAATATTTTACATTTCTACCACTTATGTGAGAAAACACAAAGTTGAGTTGTCTTTAACAGAAATTTCTTCTGAGTTTACTTGTTATAGGTTTGCCATATATAATAATTAAGTATTCAGTTTTCCAATAAGATAAATTTCACAAAACTGGCTGGTGATGTGAACTCTCTAAAGGAAGGTTCACGATGAAAAAATATTTAAATGCATTTGCATTAAGGTTTCACCATGGTGAAGCAGTTTATTGTAAATGGTGGGTATTTTTTTTTTAAAATACGTCTTTATTGATTTCAAAGAGAGGAATGGAGAGGGAGAGAGAGAAACATCAATGATGAGAGAGAGTCATTGATCAGCTGCCTCCTGCACACACCCCCAATGGGGGTTGAGCCCCCAACCCAGGCATGTCCCCTGACCAGAATCAAACCTGGATCATAGATTGATGCTTAACTGCTGAGCCACGCTGGCTGGGCCTAATTGGTGGGTATTTCTGCTGGAAAGTTATTTAAGAAGGTTACCAAACTCCTGGTTTCTCTGCCTCAGTTCCAGTTTGTGTCTGTTGTCTTGGTATTGGCTATGCTTTAGCATTTGACTTGGACTTTAAGAAAATGAAGTACTGTAATATTATTAATAGTTGCAGTCAAATAAATCAGCATGGGTTTGATAAGTCTCCACCTTGTATTTCCAGCTTTTCCGCAATCTCTTCTGGAAGGTGTGAGTTGACATGTGCATAGAACAGAATTTTCACTAGTTGATTCAGTCTCAGAGACAATGTGAGATAACCTTCCTTTTTTCCTTCCTGATGCCCCCTTCAGGGACAGCAAGCAGAGTACTTGCTGATAAAGTGAGCTTGGGGAGGGGTTGTAGGGGCAGTTAACTCCCTCGAGCCTGGCAGTGGTGGGGACCCTGCGCCCCTGGGGGTTGCCTGGTGTACCAGCTGCTTGTGCAGTAGCCCAGCTACATTTGCGTGATAGTGAAGCTGCCAGGCTAACGCTTAACTGGTGGATTAGTGGGAAATGGGAAATTATAATTTAGATAGAATAAGGTATAAAATAGAGATTGAGCAGTTTTTAAAAGTCATTTTTGCTAAAGTGGTTTTTGTTATTATATTAGTTTACAACTAATTTTCCTAGTGGTTATGCTTTTTTTTTTTAACTTGTAACAATTATAATTACACATTTAATGATTTTATCATCCCTGTTCCCTCTTCAGAGTGTCCAGTTTAGATAATAAGTTGTTACTGTACTTAAAATTCAGGCCAAATTAGAGAAGTATGAGCTGGAGCAAGGACGTACAAACTAGCCTATAGGCCCTGTTCAGCCTTGCCTGAAACGGCTTTTACGTTTTTAAAGGTTGTAAAAAAACAACAGAAACAAAGAAGCATTTGTGATAGGGGCCTTATGTGGCCTGCGAGTCCGAAGTATTTACTGTATGGTCCGTTACAGACATTCTGACCATCTAGTTTAGAGTGTGTGGTAAGTGTGTCGGAAGGCTACTTACACACAGTAGTTTATCATGAACACAGCTTTGTTCTGTTACCAAGTTAAAATGAAAATTTGGAGATTACTGTGTTTTCATTGGTTTAGTGTTAAAATGCGTGATACAGCGTTCAATAGCCAGCCTTTCTAGAACTCTCTTCGAGACCCTTCCAGTAGGTTTGTGAGGTCACAGTTATTTTATAATAACCGTACAGCATTATTTCCCTGTTTCACTGTGTTGATATTTACACTGATGATACAAAAGCAAGGGGGTGGGGTGGGGGTGGTTTAGCACAAATCAAGGGAGTGGCACTAATCCTTCCAGTTGTTACTGTATTGCACTTTACTGCCATGCACTTGAAATAAAAACAAAGGCTAGTTTCACCTAAAAGTGTCCTTCATAAAGCAGCACAAATTAATTTCAACCCTTGACTGCAATCACTTTTTCATTTCTCATGGGATGAAATGGAAAATATGCATCAAGCACTTCTGCTCCTGATGGTTGTCTCCAGGAAAAGCACTTGGATGTAATTAGAGCTGTGAGCTGTAAACTACTCCCTTTTTTCATGGAATGCCATTTTTCCTTCAAAGTATGACTGGAAAACTATGGTTACTCTCAGACATTTTCTTGAAAATTAATAGAGTGAGCCTATTACTTTCAGGAAAACAACCAACGATTTTTGTTGCCAGTAATAAAATGTGAACTTTCAATAAAAAATTAGAAGTTTGGAAAACTTATATCTATACCAAAAGTTTGACAACTTCCCAATACTTAGACTTTCCTGAAGATATTAGTGGTGGCATCAATGAATGTGATTTATTTTAATATTGCATGAGGAAATGTGTCAACAAATACTTTGCAAAGGACAATTGCATGCTGCAGAATCATGCCCCGGTAAAAGATCCATTCAGAATGTAAGAGAGATTTTAATATATGACTACAAAAAGTTCATTGATGCAATTTTAGATTCTATATTGCAACTAACCTTTAAGAAATTACCACTTGCCTTATTTTGGTGTCATATCAGAAAAGAATATCTACAGTTTTCTGAAAAGGATATTAAAATTAACTAAATATCTGTGTGATGCTGGATTTTCTTAATCTATTTCAACCAAAACAATATATTATTACAGATTGAATGTTGAAGGGCCTATGAGAATCCAGCTGTCTTCTAGCAAGCCAGCCATTAAAGAAATTTGTAAAAAATATAAATCACGGTTGTATGTCTCACTAAACTTTATGTTGTTTTGGAAAATATAGTTATCTTTAATAAAAATGTATTATTAATATGCATGAAATGGATTATTTTAAAATTAATATTAGAAAAGTTTTTAATTACTAATATAGTGACTATCAATAGATATAACCCACATAAACAAACGTCTTTGGAGTCATCCATTCTTTTAAAAATGTAAAGGTCCTGAGACCCAAAGGTTTGAAAACTGCTCATCCAGGGTTTAAGCAACTACTTTTTTAGTACATTGAAATATAGTAACCGAAGATATTTTTATGATTAATTAAGCATAAAACAATATCCTTTAAAATAGTTTTTTTTGTTTAGTTGGTTCTACAATATCACGAGAATTTCATCAGCTATTTTCCTTTTTGCCACACAAGAAAAATCTTTTCTATTTTTCCTCTTTTTCAGGTCTCACAGCCATGCCACGGTGAAAACGGCCCTGCTGGAGGCTCACGCTGAAATGGGGAACACTGAAATCCTGGAGAAGGAGCCCCCGGAGAGCCTCAGCAACGGCACCGGCGGCAACGCAGACGCGGCCAGAAGGCTGGCCAAGCGCCTCTACCAGCTGGACAGGTTCAAAAGGTCGGACGTGGCGAAGCACCTAGGCAAGAAGTACGTCTGGCCCAGC